GCTCCTGCTACTTTCCAAGCCGTTATGGACCGTCTTTTTCATCCTTTCATTGACAAGTTTCTGATTGTGTATCTTGACGATCTTCTGGTCTTCTCTAAGACGCGCGAGGAGCATCTGCAGCACTTGCGTTCTGTCCTCCAGGTGCTGCGGCGTGAGAAACTATACGCAAAGCTCTCTAAGTGCCATTGGGCGCAACCCCAGGTGGAGTACCTTGGCCACATCGTCTCTGCCGACGGTGTTCGGATGGATCCCCGTAAAACTGCTGCTGTACGGGATTGGCCAGCGCCCACCTCTCTGCAGGAACTTCGTAAGTTCCTGGGGTTGACGAACTATTTTCGTAAGTTTATTGCGCGTTATTCCGTGATAGCTGCGCCGCTAACCAACCTGACTCGTAAGGGTGCGTTTTCGTCGCCAGCCGTGTGGACAGCTGAGTGCCAACAGGCTTTCGATGCGTTAAAACGTGCAGTCGCCGACGACATCATCCTCCGTTTTCCCGATTACTCGTTGCCGTTCCATGTCGAGGTAGTGACTGACGCTTCTCTTTACGGATCCGGTGCTGTTCTGTTGCAGCAAGGCCGCCCCGTGGCTTTTACGAGTAGGAAGTTTTCGGGCGCTGAAACCCGTTACACCACCGGGGAACAGGAATTACTTGCCGTTTTACACGCTTTAAAAGAATGGCGTTGCTACCTGGAAGGCCGGCCCTTTACGCTGAAAACTGACCATAAGCCCCTTACGTTTCTCCAAGGTGTGCCTTCGTTAAACCGTCGACAGGCTAGATGGATGGAATATTTCGCGCGGTTTAACTTCGACTGGGAGTATCTGTCTGGCTCGTTGAATGTGGCTGACGCTCTTAGTCGGCATCCTTCGCTGCATTCTGCCATCTTGTCCGTCACAACTCGTCGCACTGCCTCCTTGGAACGGTCGGTTTCGGCCTCCGACCTGTCTGCGTGTATTAAGGCTGCTATTGCTACGGACCCTTGGTTCACTGACACTAATAATACGGGTCACCTCCTTTTTCAAGATGGTCTTTGGCTCCGCAGGGAAGGCTCTTATCGTCAAATTGTCGTTCCTAATGACGACTCCCTGCGTCGTGAGTTGCTTTCCCGTTTCCACGACGGTCCGTTGGCGGGGCACCCTGGCTGCACACGGATGGTCGAAATTCTTCGGCGTTCCTTTTGGTGGCCACGGATGGCTAAGGATGCCGAGAATTACGTCCTCTCCTGTGATTCTTGCCAGCGTAACAAGTCTATCTCTGGTAAGCCCCACGGACTGTTACAGCCTTTGCCTGTCCCTGCGACCCCTTGGGAGAGTGTTTCCATGGACTTCGTTGTGGCGTTGCCTAAAACTGAGGGGGGATATGACGCGGTGTTGGTCCTGGTCGACCGCCTGACGAAAATGGTTCACCTTGCACCCACCACGTCATCCTGCACCGCAGAGCACACTGCACGTTTATTTTTTGATAACGTTGTGCGTCTGCATGGTGTTCCCAAGTCTGTCGTTTCGGATCGTGGGGGTCAATTCACTAGTAAATTTTGGGACGCACTGGGGAAGTTGGTAGGTATGCGCATAAACCTTTCCACTGCCTACCACCCCCAGTCCGATGGCCAAACCGAGCGAACTAATCGGACTCTAGGTGATATGTTACGTAACTTCGCGGGTCGAACACCCTCTGTCTGGGATACCTGCTTGACGGCGGCCGAATTCGCGATTAATAATGCCGTTAGCCGTTCGACTGGTCAAAGCCCCTTTTTTCTAAATTACGGTTACAATCCTGTTCTGCCTGTTTTGCGCGAACTTGACGTAAACGTCCCCGCGGCTAAGACCTTTGCCAAGTCGTTTGTGTCCCGACTGACAGAGGCTAAGGCATGCCTTGACTCAGCCCAACAGCGCGCAGCGGACTACTACAACAAGTCCAAACGGGACGTCACCTTCACCAAGGGCCAACTGGTCATGCTAAGCACCAAGAACCTGCGTTCTCTGGCCGAAGGTTCCCGTAAGCTGTTGCCTCGCTGGGTTGGGCCTTACCCTGTTGTGCGCATGGTGGGTTCGGTTGCCGTACAACTTGAACTCCCTCCTGAAATGCGCGTCCACCCTACTTTTCACGTGTCCTTAGTCCGTCCATATCGTGGGTCTGTACCCATCCCTGAAGCGCCTGCGCCTCCTGCTGCTATAGAGGCTGCGCCTACTACTTGGTTGTCCGGTAGGCAAACCATGTATGCAGTGGAACGAATTTTGGACTATCGAACTCGACGCGTGGGTAAGGCTAGGCGCAAGCGCACGGTGCACGAATACTTAGTCAAATGGGCTGGGTATTCGTCCGAACACAACAGCTGGGAACCGGCGCGTAACTTCACCCCCGACCTCAAACCATTGCTCGATGCGGCTCGTCTTCGCGCGCAATCCCAGGTGGTAGCGCGTTAGTTATTATTACTAATTTTGTTTTGCATAGCGATCCGTGTGCGACGGGGACGTCGCCTTTAGGGGGGGGGATAGTTGTTGTATCCTGTAAAGGTTTTCCGCAACGGTTTGGGCGCCGAAACCTAACTGCTGGTGGTTAGCTCGTCCACTCCAATTTACCAAACTCCAATATTACTAACTAACAACCCGTCAATTCCGCGGTTGGTGCTTACAGGTATTAACTAATACTGATATTAGTTTAATTGCGGCTACTGTTAGCTGCGGCGGCTAAGCGACTACTGTTAGTCGTCCGCCATCTAAATGCCGCACTGTTGCGGAAGTCCATGGGCGCCGGCGGATCAAACGACTACTGTTAGTCGTCCGCCATTCAAGTGCCGCACTGTTGCGGAAGTGCATGGGCGACGGCGGCTAAGCGACTACTGTTAGTCGTCCGCCATCCAAATGCCGCACTGTTGCGGAAGTCCATAGGCGCCGGCGGATCAAACAACTACTGTTAGTCGTCCGCCATTCAAGTGCCGCACTGCTGCGGAAGTGTATGGGCGACGGCGGCTAAGCGACTACTGTTAGTCGTCCGCCACCTTAATGCCGCACCACTGCGGAAGTCCATACCTACGTATGGGCGGGGGTTTTACTTACGTAAAGCTGGGACCTGCGTCCCAGTTTCGTCTGACCGAGCGAGAGTAGTTCCTGCGAACTATGGCTTCTGGATTCGGCGCCGCCCAGTCGTACTGGGAATCCTTATCGGCGCGAGGCCCAAGTGGAGTCACTGATGACTACTTATTCAAGACACTTGTCTCAATCGGTATCTTTCGATGCCCCCATTATGTGGTTGTGTCGTCTGAAGTCTACAACATACTACACATTCGGGCGAGTGACATTTACGACATCAGGCCAGAGATAGTGGCCATGTACCTGATGCACGTCTACCAAACCGCGCAAGCGGATGAAGTAGGTCCGGGTCGCGTCGTGGGAGCGAGCGCTGCTATTGCCTGCCATTTCTTTCTCGCGGGCCGCCCCTCACCAACGGAGCACCCAGCATGCAACCTCGTTCGGGACCTGGGCAGGCGCACACTGCAAGGGAAGAAGCTGCACAGGGAAAGCATGCAACCAGAGCATGTCCGCATGTTGGCCGCTCACTTCGCTGGGCTGGATGCCTCACTGCCAGACCTGATGATGGTAGCGGCCATATCGGTTATGTTCGCGGGTTTCCTGAGGTTCAACGACCTAGCCCACATCTCCGTCAAGTCCGATCTGCTCACCCTGCACGACACTCACATGGCCATCACACTGCCTAGGTCCAAAACGGACCAGGAGGGCAAAGGGCAGACCATCCGGATCGCGCGCGTGGGGGGCGTGGCCTGCCCAGTGGGCTTGACAGAGAGGCTGCTGGCGCTTGGTAACTATGTCCGTGTCCCCAGTTCCCCCGTGGAGGATGTGGGTCCACTGCTGTGCAGGGTTAAGGCGACATAGCAAGGCCACCAGCTGCAGCAGAGGACCAGCTCTGTTCAGTCACCGATCCCCAGCCTCAGCTATACCTCCTTCCGGGAGAAGCTCGCTGCCATGTGCAGTGCCGTGGGCATCAAGCACGGCATCATGCCACACTCCATGCGCATCGGGGGAAACAGCGCGGCAGCAGCCAGAGGGGTATCTGAAGAAGCCCGCAAGGCCCATGGTCGCTGGAAGACGGACGCAATGGTGCAGCTATATACCCGGCTGGAAGACGATGCCGCACTGGAAACCACGCGCAACCTGGGCCTCGCCTGAGTCAGAGGGCCCCTCCTGCTATCTTTTCTGTCTGCAGTAGTGTAAGGCCCTTGGCAGCCCCGGTTTCGCCTCGCCCTGTCCTATCCGGCACCCCGAACGCAACCGTACAGCAAGCCATGAAGGCTATAGGACATAATTGTAGCTTAGATGCGACAGGAGCAAAGCGAGTATAGCCTCTAAGCTAGGTTATGTACGGCAGCCGTATGGCTTGCTGAGAATTCGAATTTACTATTTCAGCTGACAGCTCCATAGTTCCGGCATTCTGCCTACACTATTGGAGCTTATTATTGTTGCTCTCACTCCCCCCCCCCCCGCCCTCAGTGTCCCTCGTTTATAAGCGGCAGGCTCGGCCCAGTTGGAGACCGGCGATTAGGCAGTCCCCTCGGAGCGCCAGACGCACAGCTGTACAGCGATTACCGCACGGCAAATAAGTGCCTATAGAATGCATGTTGTGTTTCATGCGTATGAAGGCTCATTGCGTAAAGCATTAGGTGTCCAAACGCACATCAAACGCATACAGTCCACAACGCAATCCGCATGCAAACAAATGTTGCGTTTCCAGCGTATGAAGGCTCGTTGCATCAAGTTTACTGCGGCCTAACACACCAAACACACACCAAACACACACGATTTACTTTGATTAATCACATGACATAACAATTCACATGCGATGTTTTATGTGTTGGTCGCATACTCAGTTCGTTAAGCTATACGCAGTCTCATGAGAGAATAACATGCTTGGCAGCACTCAGGGGGCCCTTCCACAAACGAGATCGCATCAGGTGCAGCCCTACATCGCACAACAATTCATCATACCATCAATAGATGCCAGAAAGGCGGCGGGACATGCCGCAAGCGAACATGCACGCAATTAGACCCCCGCTGGCTGTGAGGCAGTTGTGGGGACATGCCTGGGAGGCTGAAAGGGCTTCCGGACGCATAAATCGCACCAGGCGACATCGTATGCCGGACCATCGATGCATGATGCCATCAACTAGTTGCCAGAAAGGCGGCAGGGAACGCTGCATCCAAACACGCACACAATGACACCCCCGCCGTGAGATGCGTCGATGGCTGTGAGGCAAGTGGGGACATGCCTGGGAGGCTGAAAGGGCATAAATCGCATCAGGAGCTATCGTACACTGCAACAACGATGCATCATACCATCAACTAGTTGCCAGAAAGGCGGCGGGGAATGCGGCTTGATCAGTCATGCTCGCTATGTTATTACGGGGTGGTTAAGCTTCACCAGTGGCCTCCTTCCCGAGGCAATTCCCTGCTCTCCCCTGCTAGAGGGGCACCCTAAGCCATTCACCCCATCCGACTTCAGAGTGTACTCTTTGAGTTTGGCAACTCACCTCCAGCATCAACCCAAATCTAGCGGACCAACGGCGCCTCAACTTAGTTCCTGGTCAGCTCGCGAGATTATTTTATCACGTCCTACACCGTCCACAAGATGGGGCCCCACCTACCATTTCATCACCTCTCAAACACCCGAGATGTTGGCAGGCGGACGGATTTGAACCCGGGTCGACCGGGAGCAGAAGTCAGGCCTTAACCTCTGTCATGGGGAAGGGATGTAAGGGCATCCTCCTCTCGGATGGGTCGAACTACTCCCAGTGGCTCGGCGACTTCGGTGACTTCCTTGCAACGTCCAAATTGAAGATTACATCAACACCCGTCGCCTCCGGGCTGCAACGCCCAAGACACCCTGGAGGAGGACGCACAGGCGCTCAGCTACCTGCATCTGTCCTGTGAACTGCCCATCAAGCAGTTGCTCAGGAATTGCCAGACCACTCTTGCTGCCATGCAGCTCTTACAGCAACAGTTGTGTTCTGCATCCCAGGCCCAGCTAAGCCTGTTGGAGCCGCAGAAGCAGCTGAGCATGCGTGATGGGAAGACGACCGCTGACTTCGTTCAGCGGGCAGAGCAGCTCTGTAGCAATATAATCGTGGCCGGCGGCCAGTGGGACGAGAGCACGATGCACCACACCATTCTCCATGGCCTGCCTCCGCAGTGCACCATCACCGTCGAGTTCACGATGTATCAGCTTAACTTAACGAACCCACAGCTCGTGCTCATGCTGCGTGAGAAGGAGAACAACCTTAAGACCCAAGCAAGCAAGACCAGCCTGGTGGGATCTGTCAGCCCTGGCCGTGCCACCAGGGGAGTCGGCAGCACCACCGGTGCTGCAGGCGCCGTGGGGTCTGGTGACACCTGCCGCTACTGTGGACAGCCTGGTTACTACATCTGCGAGTGCCCCCTTAAGCAGGCGGACGAGTTCGTCGGCCTTCACCGCAGCAACACATCCGAGCAGCTGCACACCGCCGGCAACGTCAGTTGAGGCAGCTGCAACAGCCACCGTGACGGTGGCGGCAGGGGCACTGGCAGCAGCAATGGCGGTAACAGCGGGGCCAACGGAGCACGTGAACATGGCCGTGCTTGATGCGGCAACAGCCACCGCAACGGTGGCGACACTGCAGGCGGCAGTGGTGGCAGCGGCTCAGGCAGCAACGGAAGCAGCTCACGCCAGAGCCGTGCCACAGTGCTGGTCATCGACGGCAGTGGCAGCAGCTCACGAGTCATCCTCGACTCAGGCTCACCATACCACCTCACGGGTGACCGCTCCCTGCTGCACAACCATGTCCCCACCGGCACACCATGGCTAATCGAGTGGGGCAACAGCCAGCCGGCCGATGTCGTGGGAACAGGGAAGCTGCACCTGCATACTCGCTAACCAGGAACTAAGTTGATGCGCCGTTGATCCGCTAGATTTGGTTGGATGCTGGTGGTGAGTTGCCGAACCCAACGAATACATTCTGAAGATGGGGCTCCCAGTAACGGAACCATACACGGCAGCTTGCCGGCACCATCAGCAGTACTGCAGGTAAGCACGGACAGAACTTCTTCATGCACCTGTTGCATCTGCTGCTGCTGTAGCCACACATGGCTTTGCCAGCGAACCACACCAGCCTGCCAGTACTCCATGGCGTGTATCGACTCCCACAATGCTGCATAAATGGCCAATTCAGACACATCATCCTCTTCCATCATCGTTGTAGTAGGGGTACCATCAGCTCCTGTACCTATGTCACTGCCGTTGCTGATAACAATGCTTGCAGCCACATCATTAGTGATGGTGGAGTGGGCCTCACTGAAGTCCGCTTCTGAACCATCACCACCACCTCCTTGCCGGATAAGGACACTGCCGCTGCTGCTGCAAGCGCTGCTAAGACCCAGCAGCTTGTCGCTGGTGGAATCACAAGCATTGTGCAGACACGCCGTAGCTTAACTGGTAAAGCACCACCTTTACCGGTGGGAGTTGTGGGTTCGAATCCCACCGGCGTCACCATGGGTTGTGAGACTTGTTCACTGAAATGTGTCAACATATCTGAGGCATTCCTCAGGGCAACCCGTGGTGTATGTGATGACAAGTCCATCACCAGAAGGCTTGGCGCCGAGGAGGAGGAGGAAATGGCTGCACAAGGTCAATGGAGCTGTCCAAGCAAAGTACCTACCAAGAGGCTGCTGTAACATGGCTAGGCCGAACCTCGCACGAGCCTTAGATGGTGACCTCTACGAGGGGTGCGGAATCCCCCAGCGGGTGAAGCGGGTCGTAGGGGGCTAACTACCCTCCGCCAGGACAAAGCGCAGGGTGCTGTGTAGAGTGCAGTAGTGTAAGGGTAGGGAGGCGGTGCGACATGCACGTGGCCTGAAGTTGTAACAGGAGCACCAGACTCCGGCAGGTTGCGATAACTGGTCGTATTCCACAGCGACAGTGTGGCGTCCTCACCAACGATAGGTGGAACTCTAGGGTGGAAAAGGGCCCGTAGAGGTGACGCGGTGGGAATATAGCATATAGGACTGACTAGGTGCAGACCTCAGAGCGTTCCCCCCTTAACACACGCCAGGTTGAGCGGACACCGGTGTAACAATAATAATAATAATAATGTGCAGACACTGCTCTGCACCAGTGCTCATGCGGTGGATTTGGCTGGTTCCTGTTTGACTCGCACAGCCACTCTGCTGACCTGTCAAGTTGCTGAGCTGCCTGAACTGTCCCTGGGGCCAATGTGATTGTCGTTTCCCTGCCGACTGACTGAGCCGCTGGCCTCGATCCACTTGGCTCAAACCGGATCGTTGCCCCAAGCCTGTCTGGTAGCTTACCAGACGACTCACCGCGGTAAGACTGTACCGCTGGCCCACCAACTGGCCAACCGGAGCTGAGGGTCCACTACTCCAAAGCACACGCCGCTGCACAATGCGTGACCTGGTTCCACCGCTCGCCACATTGCTGCTGACACTGGTGACACGGCCACTGGTGTTGGCATCGGTATCCAGCGTGGGATTGAATCTCACCACCGGCGTCATGACGACGGGTTTCCCGATGGGTACAGGCCGGTACTTGGAACAGGTGAACTCTCGTCCCCCTTCCCGTCCAAACCTTGAGTGTCCCAGGTACTCGAAGCGCCGATGTCCTTGGTAATCCAAGATACGTTGCGCTATCAATCCACACATTTTGTTCAATTGCTCGTCCCCCAGCATCCAATCATTATTCGAGACCTGCACGGTATGTTGAGGGCTAAGTAAACCCTCGATCATGGTCATTCAGGGGTCTGTCAAAGACAGTGAAGGGGACAGGGCCAACCAGCAAAACCAAAGTCCTTTGCCATTAAGGACAATATTAGACATTTTGTACTGACCCGTGCAGTCCATTCCTGTTGTACTCGGGCTGGCCTGGCTAACTCAAGATGTCACATGCACTTAGCACCTAGGAGCTCTCTTCCAGAAGGAACAGCTTTCACACCTGTGACCGGTTGAGACGATGTGAGCTAAAAGATATGATCAGTTGGTTCAGCTCAAGCCGCCCGCGGGAGGACCTGGAAACGGATGCGCTGGAGGGAAGGGCAGAGGCAGCACCTTGGGCAGTTTGCCACTTCCTAAGTCGCCTTTGGCCATGGAGGTGTGTGTGGCTCAGGTTCTGGCTTTCACTCCCCCTCTTGCCTTGGCCACGGGTCTGGACCCCGGATCTATTCGGTTTATCTCCCCCTTGTCGGTCCTCCCAACACGCAGCCTCCTCTGCATCACCACTGCTTCTGGCACTCCAAAACCCTCCATTTCCAGTGCCACTGCCGCCACTACCACGGTTAGGCCAGCAGCCATACTTGTCAGCCTTCAACACGCCCCAGCAACCGCGGCCACGAGAGTCATTGCAATCGGAGTTGGCGTTGCTGCCACCAGTGTTGCTGCCAAAACTGGGACCGGTACCTCCCCTTTCACTTTTCTGCCCATTCCTGGCAGTGTTCCCCTCCCCGCAGTGTTCCCCTCCCCCGCCATCGCGGCTGGTGGTGATGCCGATGGCAGTGGTGCTATCGCTGCCGGGATCTGGCGACTCAGCCCAAGTTGTGGCGGCTCCACTTTCAGTGGCTTCAGCAATGGCGGCTGCAATACGGCTACTCGTGACAGCTGTGGGATCGTCTGCAGTCGCCCGTCGCACAGCAGTCTCCAGCATCTGTCGTACCCCCTCAAGATCCAGGTAAGCTTTACCACCTGTTGGCGACGGAAAGAGTACGACGCGAATAGGTTTCCATTTTTGCGGCTGTATATCGACACCAGCCAGGGCTCCGTCGGACTACACGATGAAGCTGCCGATTAGTTAATGGTGGTTGGCCGTTGCGATAAGTATGTCCACGCAACAGCTTGCGTGACCAGCGGTGCATGGCAGAGGCCGCGTCCGGCAGTACGACAAGGCAGCCCTATGGCATAAAATGGGGGGTAACCCCCCCTTAAGCGTAACCCAGGGTGTAGGGTTAGGGGTTACCCATGTGGCTATGTACGAAGGGAGGTGGGTAACCTAACCCCGGGGTAGGGGTAACCCCTTACCGAGGGGTAACAAAGGGGTCGGGGTAATACACTACTGATGGGTAACAGACAGGGTAACCCATGTTTACATTCACCTGCACCTGTCTCGTCTGTCTACACACGCAAACATACATGTCTTCACCAATCACTTGTGAATGCCCAATTATCAACATTGACGCACCAAAACATGCCTTGTGTAGAAACCTAGACCTAAGGATAAGGCACACAGCTGCAGCCTAGATGCAAGGAGGAGGACGAAGAGGCGTACATAGGCAGAGCAAATTGGGGACCGCCACCAGCGAGAAGCCGCCAGTGAAGCCAATAAATATTCCTATCAAAAGGTCCAGGCACTTACCGCCGCTCCGGACCCAAGACCTAAAACTCGCGGACCAGCCAACGGGCGGCAATGTAAGCTTACATTACCTTAAGGTCAGCCAGTAGCTTAAGTGCCCCGTCCCGACCTGCTACTTCCAGCTCTACGCACGACCTATGCAACACTATCCAGAGTCTGCTCGTTTTCAGAGCAGGCTCTCCTAAGAGCGTCGAAGGTCTTGGGCAGGAGATCCGACACCCCGAACACGGTCACACCCGGCGAAGTGTAAGGCACCCTCAGGTAAAAATCCTTGGATGTCACTGGATGTATTGCTAAATGAGGTGCACCATAAGTGTGGGCCTGTGCTGCAGAAAGACAGTCAACGGTCTTGTTGAGGTGGTCCGCGCGCGTGAACGCTAGAACGCCACCATTTTTGCCGCCATACGCAACAGTATTGCAACGTGGATTATATGTGTGCATTGTATCTATGGTCAATAGGAACAATGCCAGCAGTGAATATGATTGACTGAATTCGTGATAGTGGTCATCGCTTATTGTAGCATGTCCGTCTATGTAAAAGACCAGACTATATGAGCTTACAAGCTAATTAGCTGAGATTCAGCTTGAATGTGCTTGTCAGGAGTATCAATGGAGGTAAAGCAGCATGCACATATGCGTACGACCACCCCCGGCCGGTAATATGTCGGCCGACCTCAGGACTGACTGCCTGATGTTTCACAATGACGACTATTATATAACATTGGGTGACAACCAAAGGCATCCATTTAGTGAAGACCTGTCGTCGACTTGCGTGTGTGCTGCCAGCATTCGCCCCTTTTCCTGTACTCATCTACAAGCCAAACAGGCCAAGACATAGGTACTTATTGCTTATTCCTTGCGTGTGTGATGCTAGCATTAGAGACCTTAAGGTTAAAATGGCAAACGATGCTTCCCGAGATACCACGATACTGTAGGTTGCTAACGTTTACATTTTTAAAAGTATCCTTAAGCGGAATTTACGATGTGGGAAGCATATAAGACGAGTAGCCTATAGGCCCATACATATGTCCATAGTCCAGGGCAACGGAGGGGTTTACCCTGGGGCCGTGTTACCCCTCCTGCTGGGTAGGAACTTACAAGGGGGTTACCAAAGGGCTACCGGGGGTTGAAGATGGGTAACCCATGGGTTACTGACCCAATCAGTGCCTTAGGGCAGATGTCCTCCCAAATTGTTGTACCATACAAAAACTTCCAATGGTTTCTGAGTTTTCCGAAGGTGAAGGCCAGTAGGGTATAGAAAAAGTTGACAAGCACAAGGGACACAAGCAACACTTGAGACATAATTACCAAAGCAATGCCCAAGTACTAAAGCGGATTGCCGTACCATTTACCATAGACGCCAAGCCGCCAGGTTCAGCCATCCGAAGGGGAGCATGGCCAGAGTCGTTGGGCGGACAGGAAAAGAGGGCAGTTGGGCAAGGCAGGGCGCATTGTGAGCATAAGTTTGGAATCCTCATTCTCGCGCAAGTCCAACTAACACATGCAACGCAAGCCACAGTACTCCCGCGCAACACGCTACAGCAGTGAATGTTTTCATAAATTTTTAACATTTGCAGCCACATTAACAAACTGAGGAACATGCTGCCGATATGATGCAGGGCAAAGGCAAAAGTCGAGACGAAGAAAAACGGAATGAGCCGAGAAGGAACGGCATGGGCCCCCGGGGGAATAGGAGGACAAGGAACGGGCTGGCCGACACAAGAAACAGACACCGTAAAGATTACCCACAAGCCAGCCACACTGAAACCAGTCACACGGTGGCCCGCCAGCCAGCATGAAACGGCGGCATTCCTTTGAATATGAACAGGTTATTAAACACATATAAGCACCTGATGATATCCCCAAAGCCCGTGACCCTACGCACATGCTGTAGCCCGGGGCCTGCCTAGCAGGACGGGTTCGGGGTAAAAGATAGGCCGGCGTGTATATGGACTATATGGCGGGCATACATGTGTACGGATCCACAGATTCCGAGAAGCTGCCGGCCTTGCAACCCAATTGGGTACTATCCCACCACGTCCGCCACACAAGCCCCAAAGAATCAACAACACATCCCATGACCCAATATTACACCAAAACCCTGCACCAACCTGCACCGTTGTGAACTCCATATTCCGGGGCACGATGGTATCAAGGTTACGCAGGATGGACCGGCCCACCAGGAGCCCAAGAGTGTCGCTCAGGGCGCCATCCAGGTTGCTCATTTCCTCGACGTGGATACCAAGCTGACACACTTCCATGACCGAAAACATGACGGCAATGAGCAGCAGTATGATCACCAAGTGTAGTACGGCAGGTACAGCGTTGAATAGCGTTCGTACCATGATGCCGACGCGACCTTGAAAAGCCAGTGTGGACAGAAGCCTGGTCAAGTATGTAGGAGAAGGAAGTAGGAGACAAGGTTGGGATGTTAAAAAAACGACGGAAAATTACCAGACACTTCACCACACACGGAGACGGAAAAAATAAAAAAAACAAATCAAATCCAAGCGCGACAACCCGGCGGATGGATACATCAGCGCCATCTAGCTGTGCCTCCTTCCTGTGTGGCGCTGCAGCTCCCTTATTCACCCTTACTTGGCAACGTAAACCTTTCCTCCTGAGACACACAGAGTCGCTTACCCTTTTTGCTTGTCACGCACCCGGGTAACACACACACACACACACACACACACACACACACACACACACACACACACACACACACACACACACACACACACACACACACACACACACACACACACACACACACACACACACACACACACACACACCTGCCGAATAGCAGCACCAACGTCATTGCCTGGATCATGCCGTAAATTGTCCACATGCGGGATAGTCCGTCCGTGTTCACAAGGACCTCCGCCAGTGCCTCCCAGTCTGCAGTCCCTGCGGGGTCATCTGGCAGCAGGTACCTGCCCGGGGTCCTGGAACTCGAGGGCAGTGACAGCCCCAACGAGTTCAGGGACACCTGAAGCAACAAGAGGTCATAGCGCAGTGCAGGACAGCGTGTGATGCGGATGGGAAGGAAGCAAAAGGCAAAGACGTGTGGGCCAGCATAACGAAATGAAGGGAAATTGGTTAACAGCGGCTGTTACCATTGAGAGCCAACGGTTGAGTAGTCAGGCATCCGTACCCTGTAGCGTGTACCGCTTTGCTCCAGCACAACGTATTAGCACCCGCTTCCGCACTGTAGTAGCTTTGCCACTGAAAAAACCTCTCGAGATGCTGGGAACATGCTCTAGCGTATTATGTATAACTGGTTTGTGCCGTACTGTCTACGACAGCTACTACACGTACCTTGAGCTCTGCGCTCTGGCTGGGCTGTAGCACATCCGGATTTGTTTTGAGCGGCAGTAGCCAGCGTGCCCGGGCGCCCTCTATGTCGTCGTAGACCCGGTAGTGCTGACGCGCTGAGAATACGGCAGCCTTCTGTACCATGAATGCCGTATATACAGCGCACGCCGTCACCAGCATCACACAGACCATCAGATCCACGATGAGGTTGCTGAAGCGGTGCCATTTCTGTTCACATGAGAATTGGAGCGGCGGGCGCTTAAATGAGCCGGGTTTTGGCTAGCTGATTGTGAGCTCCTAGGGGTTTGCTGATTCAGACGATTTGGCACAAAAATGTTTCCTTTGATGTGGCCTGGTAGTACCTTAAAGCCATCATCTGCTTTTTGCTCGTTTTGTGTTCAGGGCTTTTAGGCCCGGACTTGCCTGTGTTTCGTGGGTCAAAGACTTTACATCATTTGAGAGCTGGTGTGCGCTGCCTTTGGTGTGCGCTGCCTTTGGGATGGCTTGTTAAACTGAAGGCGTGATCAGTGGGCGTGTGTTGGGATGGGTCCACCTGGCGGCGCTCACTCCCATCCTGCAAAACTCTACTCCTAAGCGCCACACCGTCTGCCCCTGTACTTCCCCTCCCTACGTTACGTTACGTTGTTGTCTCGAGGATTCGGTGTAAGCCCCACCCAACTACGTCTGTATTTTTTCGGGCATTGTATAGGCGAGATATTCGGGAAAATAGGTGAAAGGTATATAGGCCAGTAAGGTGTACACGTATTATACGAGACTTAAAGGCTTAGGCATAAGAGGCGCATGTGTAAGTGATGGCCTAATATACGATCATGTATGGCATAGTATTATAAGTACATTTTTACATCATAACCTGTAGCAAGGGATGTTTAGGCTATGCGGTATACAGGTATGTATACACTTGATGTTGTAAACGACATTGCCTATATAGACGCAAGTATACATGATTCCCTATAATAGGACCTGTACAGGCATCGCATAATAGGCTTTTCTTTCGAGTCACCCTTTGGATACCCAAGTCATCGCTCTAATCGATCGCGCGACATCCGCACTACCTCACTTATTGCATCGTTATCCTTGCAGTGTCTATAGATTTAAAACGGCACACTTTATTACCGTGGCTCGATCCCGGGATCTCACGTGAGTATTGGTCACGTCTTACCGGTAGTACTTAACGCAGAATGTAAAGTAAGGGTTGTTCCAGCTTTTATACTTAGAATCTAAAGGGCACTCATGAACATCAGCTGCGTTAGCCTGGCTTGTCGTCCATGCGGCAGCCTCTGGGCAAATGGCCCAACTCCATTTGAGTTTGCTGCTGGCTGCGGCCAAGAAACATGCAATGCAACCGCCATATGATCCCTAGGTGTAATTGTTTTGCATACAAGTCGACGTAGATACCTCCTGTGACCGCCGTACAGGAAGGAAATTTTCCGGTACGACAACATGTGAGGTCCAGAACCGAACACAAAAGCAGGAATCACCATTCAGAGCGTAAACGTCGCCGTCCATGACTTATGCATATGAATTCACGTGTTCTCTTCGCGTTTTTCTCCTTCTTCGTAAGGCCAACGCGTCGACCAACGCACATCTTACACCCGTCTGGTCCAGAGCCTCTATAGCAATAATATTGACATAAACATAAAAGTCATTTATGAACATCTGCTACGTTTGTCTAGCATTGTCGTACCGGAGGTTGGGTCGGCAGCAGACCATGAACTTCTCGCCTAGGAAAATACTTAGCGCAGCCGAGAAACATAATTTAAATCTGTTAGTTCATCCCATTGGTCTTAGGGTTGCCTTCAAGTCGACGTAGATGCCACCTCCTGTCACCGCCGTATCGGAATGCATTTATCAAGCAAAAGACCCGAAAAGATTATAACCTTGCAGAACTCATTTCAGTGCTTTTGGAAAAGAGGTTTAGACCTTGCCACCCCGGCAAGCCAGAAACTAGTTTCGGTCGCAAAACTTTTGTATTTTCAAAGCATACACACGCGTGATACCTAAGAATACGAGAATTATTAACAGTTTAATACTTGTGGAATTTCGTAGGCGTTTGCGGTGCAACTGGCGC